TATCTCTTCAGCCGAGAGAGAGAGAGAGAATGTTATTGTCAAACAGTTTGATTAATCTCATTTCATTAATATTATTTTATTTAGTGCATTATAGATATCTACAAGATAAACTTTTTTAAGGAGAGTATTACAATTGAAAATATTATAAACTTAATTAAATAATAAAACAGTTACAAAAATACAGAATATAACCGTTTTAATCACTTCAATGATATGTTATTTAAACGATATTCAAACTGCTTCTCAGACGTATTATGGATCTCATTGTACTGGAAATAAAAATAATAAACTTATTAATAAAATAATTAAAACCAACATTATAAACAAAAAACAAGTAGATAAGTTTTAAACTACATTTATGCATTTAATCAATCATATCGACCATAACATAAAACAATATGGTAATTGATAACATACATATTCAGTGGCGGAGTCGGCGTATAGCGACCACTCGACGTCACCGGGTATACCGCGACCGCATTTGGTTACCTTACAGGTGGGGGTCTTTGGGTCTCCGTTATAGTGTTTGATGAGAGCACCGGTGGCGCAGCCCCGGCATAGGGCCGCGTGTCTACACCCAAATATACCGGTGTCTGCGGTCACCTTTTTCTTGCCTTTATCGCAGACTTGACAGTAAATAAATTCTCCCCCCTTTAGACCCGTTATGTATGCAAACCCGTTAAGTATGGTTTTAGCCATATATGACTGCTGGCGACATAAGGGCCGGGTCTCCACACCGAAGGCCAGCGCCAGTATCTCCTCGACCGCCCGCTCCACGCCTGACAGCCCGTAAGCGCTGTTATCGGACTCTTTGGTCATACGGTTGTCGTTAATGCGGTTCAATAGCCGCAGACCATCCGAGTCTCGGATCAGTTCGGCGAACGGACTCAAAACTGACCTCGAATTCGGTCGCTTCTTCTCTTTGGCCAAAACTGTCTTGTATTCAGTGAACAGGAAGTGTATGATTGCTATCAATACTGTCTTCATGTAGTCCTCGTCATCCGAAGATAGTTGTGAACACAGCGATGGTAAACATCCTTTTGGTGATACATGTGTGGACACGGATTGCATAAACAAATTAACAAAAATTAATAATACTATTTTATTGTTACTTAATACATTAGTAATTTACTACATACACAGTGCATATTTCTACACAAAGTTGTATTTGAAAAAATCATATTCACCCTGAGCCATTTGTTTTAATTGGTCACCATTTGCTTTGAATGTGATAACAATGATTGCTTTTAATGCACTTTTCCTCACATTCATTGAGGGATCGTTTTGAAGCAAATCAACGCAAATTTCAAAC